AACAAACCAACAAAAAAACCAAACAAACACTTTCATTTACTAATCTGATTTAAAAGCCTTCAGGTTCAAGAGAGGGCTACGTATCTGACAAAAGGTTGAATTTTAATTCAATCTTTCCAAATGGGTTTAGTTCCCAAATGAAAAAGAAAAGTGGAGCCTTAGCAACACCGCCCCCCCCCAACATGGCAGCCTCAGCAAAACAGAAGATTCAGAAGGGGAAGTCTGTCTCCATTAACAGACTATCTGGCTGAGGATGATGGGATGAAGCACCTATGTCCCCAAACCAGTCCGCTGGGCTGATGCAACAGATGATCTGGAAAGAGATGTGTCAACAACTTGGCATAGAGATGATGATGTGTGTAGGGCGCCTCCAATTGACTGGTCCCATCCTTTCCACTGCTTCATGGGCTGCTCAGGAACCAAATACTCACCAGAGCTGTCTTTCCAAATCGCCATCCTACACCGTTTCCGCGGGGAAACTGCCTTATGAACTGACTCAAGACTCCATTAAGAACTTCTTCAGAGTATGAAATATCCCACTTGCCACAGGAACCCAGCAACCCAGATAGGTTGAACAGTTTGAGCTATGCAGAATTTGAGGACCTGGGTGCTCTGCTCCGTGCTCTGAGTCTCTAAGTAACAGATTTTGAGTTGCTGATCAAGCACTGGATAAAGACAGGGATGATCGTTCTTTTGGTCAAGATAGAAAGTTAGGTTCTAACTAAACAGACACAGACCACTGGACCCACCCTGCTGCAGACAGCTTTGAGGGCTTAGCCACCTAGAAGAGGTAATGATAGCTTCAGTACATTTCAGAGTGGTATCAGGACTGGTTTCGAACAGGTATCAGGATGGTCCATGCTGAGACATGGATATTGCTATGATTGTCAGGATCATAATGATGACCAAGGCTATGATTCCAGCATAGGCAGTGGCAGAAGAGCATTTGTTAGTGGGTACTGTAGGGTTGATGACTACAGAGGAGGTGGGGACTGCTGTGAAGACAGGTATGATAGATGGGGTGATCAGCCATGGAGTCCCAGGGGTGATTACTCTTGGGACAATGATAGGCATGATGATAGAGTCCCCAACCCCCACCCCACCCCAAACTCAATCTAACGTCTTGGAGTATTCCCAGTGAAGATGATTCCTCTGCTAGTACCTCCCGGTCCAGTAGAGCAGCTTCTATCTTTGGAGAGGCAAAGCCTGTTGATACAGCTGCTATAGAAAGAGAAGTAGAAGAGGGTATACAGAAGGAGCAGGAGAAGTTATAGTGTCAGCTGGATGAAACAAAACTAGATGGCTGACCCCAGGACAGACAACAAGTGGGCCAAGTGAGGAAACTCAAGAAAGAGAATGGTTGCAGACAGGAAGCCAGTTATCACAGATTGGAGCCCCAGCCACATCTGGCAGAAATATACAAAAGAGAGAGAGAGCAAGAAATCTCTAGAAAATGAAACACTAAATAAAGAAGATTGCCACTCTTCAGTCTCTAAGGCTAAACTTGATTGGCCTCTAAAGGTATTGCCAGCCCCAAGGAGAATGCATGGGTAAAGCAATGCTCTAACCCTCCTGCTTAGTCTCAGAGCTCAGACACAGAGCATCAGTTCTCTACAAGTGATGGAGGGAGAGTAGCTCTGGCACAGCCCTCTGAGGAAGGACCAGCAAGGAAAGAAGAAAACAAAGCAAGTGGGGTGACTGTCCCAAAAGGCCAAAGTAGGAACTCCAGCTGTGATGCTGGAGATGGATGGAGATAAAGACCTCTGGAAGGGGTTGGACAGGAAAGAGGCCAAAAATGATCAAGACTCCAGATCTGCATTTGAGCCACAGATATCTGAGGAGAACCCAGCCTCCAAGTTCAGTTCTGCAAGCAAGTATGCTGCTCCTTCTGTGGATGGTGAAGCTGGCAATGAGAGAGACAACTGCAATGAATAGACCTCCATGTCCTTTGTTTTCTCCTAGTCTCTCTACCCTGGAGTATTCAAAGACAAATCAAACTAGTCTTGTGTATCCTGTTTTGCCCCTTCTAAACACTGCCCTGTCTAAACTTTCAATTATGTCCACATTCTATCAAAACCTTGTTACACTAGTCACCTCATGTTCTTGACAACAGTGTTAACTTCCCCAAGGCAGTCTCTGTAAGTCTCACACCTGATTTCACTGTCATTTTATCTTGGCCATCAGAAGCGGTGGCCTGAGCAAGTGAACCAGCTTTGTGATGTCTGTGATTCCTGCTCCCACCACCCCCAGTCTGCCAGCTTCCTGCTGCTCCTAGACTTGAAGGTCATAGTACTTCAGTTGATGGGCTTGGGTGGTGAATAGGGGTACGTAAAAGGGGAGAGTCGAGTTGGGGGCCTTTAACCTTGATTGGGGTGTTTTATGGAAGCTCATGCTAGTGCTTAGGTTTGGAAAGTGACCTATATTGTGAGATTTTTCTGTTCAAGAGGGTTTTTTTTTCTTCACTTCCCTCAAGAACAAAGGATAATGAAAAGAACTTCAGACAAACAAGACCTTGGTCTTAATGCGGAAGCCCTAGGCCTTCCGTGTGGGACCATTGGTTTAGTGGCTGCAGCAGTGGGCATAGCAAGGACTTGTCCAATGGACTTGATTGGTGAGTAGCTAGGAAATAGACTTTTAGAGAGATAGCCACAGCTGAATTAGTTTTTAAAAAACCATTGGTTGTAGATAATGAAGAAGTGATTTGCCCTTTTCATGTCTATTTCCCTTACTGACAGCTACATCTAAAAGAAATCTGCTCTGTCCCTCTGTAAAAACAAAATCAAGAGTCAACTTATATGTTCCTGAATACATTCAAAATTTATGCAAAAATATCTTCTATGAAGATGATTTGTAATCTGTAGACATTACTTGGGAGATGTCTTGAGATGTAAAATCCCATCCTTAGGGTTAAGGGTTTGTTGTGTTTTACTCCCTTCAAATAAATCTAGTCTTTAAAGTTGAAAGAAGTAAAAAGAAAGGAAGAAAAGGAAAGAGTGGAAGAAAGAAAGAAGAAAGAGAGAAAGAAAGAAATTAAGAAAGAAAGGAAGGAAGGAAGGAAGGAAGGAAGGAAGAATAATGAAGAGCCTGGGGTTTTCCTTTTCTCTACACAGTTCTGCCTCAACTTCTCTGGGTAAGATGTACACCATGGCTGGCCCCACTGATCTGAGGCATACTTCCTGCTGTTTCTCCCACATGGTACAGTCTGTCAGGATTCTAGATTGCTGGGTATACTCGATTTTTCACTTGCCTTGGGGAGCAAAGATGGTCGCTTCCAAGATTCTTGTTAATGACAGCACCCTGCCTTGCTTCAAGCCATCTCAGCATCCTGGCCACTCCCTAAGTGAGAATCAGTTTTCTCACTCAATGCCAATCATAACCGAGTTCTTTTTGGTGCCCACTCATCTCTGATATTCCAAAAGTAAAAGGTTAGGAAGCAAAGTGTAGCATCTTTTCTTCCTGAATGCAGCAGCTTGGAGCACTCAGGATCCCTACTGCTGCTTTATTCTCTAAGCTAGCACACATCCCTGGTGGTATGGGACCACTTTACCCAGTAACAGGTGCCCAGAGGTATTTATTTTAAGCCATTCAAAAAATCTGGTTTGGCAGCCAAAGTAAAGGGAAGAAAGCATGCTGCTGCCAGGACCGCATTTTCTGAGAGCACCCAGTTCTCACATGTAGGCTTGGGGCTTCCAGGTTCTGTTTTAATTCAGAGTGGGAGCCTGAGGTGGACAAAGCTGGAAACCGGCACATCTCTTGTTTCAGAGCCCAAGCCACTGTTCAGAAAGAGGCCCTTGGGCCTAAAAGTTGCTGGATATAGGGAGGAGACCATGTTAATATTTTTTAAAGTTATGATCTTGAAAATGTTTGTAGTTGTTTTCATTAGAAGTATATGGTTCTGAAATGTGGTAACTCACATCTATAATCCTAATATGCATGAGGCTGAGGATTACTGAGGGTTTGAGGCTAGCCTGGACTGGCTCAAGGCTAGATTGGCATGAAGTCTAAGACTCTGTCTCAAGAAAATCAACCAAACAAAAGGTCTGCAGGACAAGGTCCAGTTTCTGCTACAGTGCACGTGGGCTGCTCATTACAACTGTCTGTAAAGAATAGGACTTGAGAACTTACATTGAGATATGGTGAAAATGTCCTCCGTGTCTGCCTCCTGGATTTCATGTCCTTTGTCACCTTACCAGGAGATCTGGGGTCTTCTTCCTCACCCACTCTCTGCCCCGTTCTTACACCCCTCCCCAACTCACTCTGATTCTGGAATTTCAGAGTGCCAGTTTTATCCCTTTAGTGCACAGACACCATTATAAGCTCCCTTCCAAACTGTAGAAAGTCTAAAATGTGCTTTGGGCATCCGGAAGCAGGTGTCAATTCTAAGAGGCTGCCAAGAGGCCTTGCTCAGAAGTGGTATGCAGAGCCTGTCACCCTCACCGGCAAGGTTCCATCAGAAAAAGACAGCTAAGCATTTAGGCCAGGTATGGGACAGCCACTTCTCTTCAGTTACAGAGCTAAAGGGTAGCAGTGGGGTGGGGCGGGGCAGGGCAGGGTGGGGCTAGGCAGGAAGAAAGACTCTAACATCCTTATTTGAATGTATAGAGAAATAAGGACACACAGAACCTGGATGGCTGGCTACCAGCTGTGTGTGAGGCACTGCACCCAGTGGCCAGCTGTGCAGATCTCAGGGTAGTGATGGTAAGACTGAAGGCATGGAATGCTGGCTGGTTGCCTTGCTGGGTCTGGGCTGACAGAGCCAAAGAAATGTTCTCAGGTTTGTCCTTCAACCGTAAGTTTTTCTGATTTCACTGCAATCAAGAAGTTTATGGCAACTTCACACAAACAAAACAGGAATCAAAGTGAGTGAGCAATCTGCAGAAAGCGAGACTTGTATGATCTGTGCATGCACCAAACAGGAAGTGAGTGTACCCTGTTCTAATTACACAGGACTGGTCTCTAGTAACATAACGCCCCTTTCCTTTCTCCCAGAACCACTACTATTGATGTTTGAGCATTGGTGAAACATAGTTTTTAATTTCACACCTCACAGAGCCCAGCTGAATGCTTCACAATAACGTAAACAGAAGTTGGGCCAAGCGCTACAGACAAGCTGGGAGAGCCGCTTCTCCTGATGCCTATACCCTGGGACTGCAAGGGGACAGACAGCTGTTAACAAACTGGTCGGCTAAGGCCACAGAAATGTGTTTTCTGGTTTTCGGCTGTGGGCGCCAGTCTCTTCTGACAAAACCGTGTTAACACTGTGTGCAACCAACAGAATCTCTTTCCCTGGAGCCATGGGTAAAATCGCCTCTTATTTCTTCCTCGAGTTGTCTTTGGTGGTGTCATAAGCACGGACTATTTCCTCCTGGGTGACAGCTCCATGTTCTTCTTGAGAAAAGGCATACCCATCTACAGAGAAACATGCAGGAAGAAGTGGATTAGAGAACATTCTGGACCAGTGGTTCTCAACCTTCCCGATGCTGGGACCCTTTAATACAGTTCCTCATGTTGTGTTGATCCCGAACCATAAAACTATTTCGTTGCTACTTCATAACTGTAAGGTTGCTAATGATTATGAATTGAAAGGTAAATATTTGATATGCAGGATATCTGATATTTGACCCCTGAGAAAGGCTTGTGGGGTCGTGACCCACAGGTTGAGAAACACTGTTCTAGACTAAGGATGAACTACTTTCCACGAAGACCTCCATTGTGGTCATGGGACTTTCTTAGCCATGGATGCAGATACCTGAGATGAAGATACTTGTAAAAGCAAAGGGGACCCTGATCAAGAGGGATTGTGGTGGCAGTGGGCTGATCACACTGGGATGGGAACAGCTCAGAGTAGGAGTACATTTTCTGCAGCTGTAAAAAAAAATACCACGAACCAGGTGAAGTATAAACTGGAAGTTTGTTTGGTTTACAGTTCTACAGGCTGGGAGTCCAATGTCAAGATGCAGTACCTGGTGAGGACTGACTTACTGCAACATAACATGGGGGGCTGACACCCCACTCCTGTTAGACAATATTAATCCATTGTCTGGCATAGAGCCCATGTGACACTGACACCCCTAACCCCCCCCCCTCCATTCCACCATCAGAGCAATTATACGCCCACATGCGTTCGGAGGACACTCAAACCACAACGGTAGGCTTTCTAATTTTGGGGTCTCAGTATGAAAAATGCAAACATGGGCTAGTGGGCCATGTCTCTACAACCCTACCACCTATGAAGAGACAATGTCCTCCACCTGCCTGATGCTATTTATGGGACCATAAATATATGAGGAAAGACACTCCTAATAGTGACGCCATCAAAGCACATGGGATGCGTGGAGAGTTCCAGTTCAAACACTGGACTGGTTCCACCTGGTAAGTAATTGAAGTGGGTTTGTTTCTGAGTAACTGAAGAGAAAGAACACAGGAAAGGGCAGATTTAGTGAATGGTTCTATGACCACGGAAGGACTGAGCATCCCAGGGTAAGAACACAACAAGTATCACCAACTGTTCCACACACTGCATGAAAATAGCTCAAGGAATCCACCCATGAACCACACGTGATACCATCTTCCCAATTTACAGTTGAGGAAATTAAGGCCCAGAGACTTTTTTACTTGCCCAAGGTCACAGAGCTGGGAAGCAAAGCTGCACAGTGTGACCTACTCCTGACAACCCCTGCTGTGGCAGAGGGACAGAAAAGTCCCATTAGATGTCCTGGCCAGAAGATAACTCAGTCAAATCCAGACAGTTGTAAGGCATCCAGGTCTTCCTGCTTGCACTTTATCAATGGAGCTGCTCACTGATGTGCTATTTTTAGACATTTTTTTTTCCTTTTTGCAGTGTGGGGGATGGAACCCAAGGCCTCCTGCATCCTAGGTAAGCGTTCTGAGTCATACCCTCCCCCTCCAGCCATATTCTCTAAAAGGAGAAAAAGAGATCAGAAAAGGTGGGCAGCTGTCAGCTTGTTAATTTCCTCAGATGCGGACAGAGAGCCAAGTCTGCAGGGTGTGTGAATACACAGTCACAAGCAGGACAGGCTGGCAGAAGGCTGTAGGGGAAAACTCCATGCTTTTGCTCATTTGTATGGCCAGAAACCAGAATCCCTGTTCTTAGGCTGCTCTTCAGGAGAATGAGCCTGCCAGCTACTCCCCAGAAAGCCTAAAGGCTTGGGTAGGCCCCAAGGATTCCTAGGCATAGTGGGCAGAGGATACTGGGGGTCCCCTGAGGGCACAGAGTCTGAGTAATAGGGAGGAGATTTCAGACCTGGCAGTCAAGGGGAGAGGATGGAGTCAGGGAGACTGACAGGTCAGTGAAAGCGGGGAGATGGAACCACTGTAAGCACAGACGACAGAGATACACACTCCTGCCTGCTGCCTATTTCCAGCCAAAATGAATCCCCCCAAACAGGAAGTCCCACCATGTGGTAGTCATAGGGAAGCAGTTCCCAGTGTAGCATGGGCCCCATAACCAGGCAAAAGCCAGATGGAGGCTGGGGAGAGGGAGGTCTCAGCAGGTGCTTGTTGTTCAAGTTGGGGAACTGACTTTGATCCCCAGAACTCACATAAAGGTGGAAGCAGAGAGTGACACACACACACACACACACACACACGGTACCCCCCAAAAGTGGGGTGGTCCTTGAGTAGAGGCAGAAGCAAACCTGGACGGGAATTTCCACTGAAGCCACACCCTGCCCTCCGGCCCTGGGGACAGGGGCTTTCTTATGTTGCTGTCCACACAGCTCCTGTATGCTCCACACACCCTGCTTCTGAGAGGAAAGGAACAAAAGCTGTGTCTCATCCCTGTTCCCAAAGATCTTCTGGAAATGGACCATGGCTTGCTGGAGCTCTCTGGGGAGGGAAGGGGCTGCTCCCTCTCTGCCTCCTCTCTGTCCAGGACCCTGCCCTGGCCACACACAAGGTGTGCTTTGTGAGGAATTTTTACGGCAGTCCAAGAAGATAGTCTTTCCTTGGGATGGTTCAAAGCAGAAAAATCTAGTTCAAGACGACGACGACGGAACCCCAGTGTGTCCTTTGGTACCAAGGCTGCTTTACTGCAGTTAAACTTGACAATGTTCATTCTCTAGTCTTCTAACAAGGAATGTTTTGTGTGTTCTTGAGGGTCATCAGTCCCAGCAGCTACCCTGGGTGGGATGTACTGCTGGAATGATGCCCCTGGCTTCTACTGTGGCTGTGGCTGTGGCTTCTGCAGCCTACCAGGGGAGACCCTTCAATATGAAGGAAGCCATTGTGATCAAGGGCAGGCTTCCCAGAGAGATTCTAGAAATGAGGCAAGAGGGGAGAGGACTACTGTGCTCCCTGTAAGAGGATGGCATTCTCAGTTGGCTGGGCATCTATCTTGGATGGTGATCAGACGGCAGGAGTACCAGGGGCACAAAGGGGAACTTCTTGTCCTTGCTTGGCCATTACTAGGCTTTGTAACCTTGGACTCTTGGAGCTGTCTGGGTTTGGATTTGCGTCTCTGTAAGATGGAATGGCTTGGAACAAGGCATGCCCTACCTCTAATAGCTCCAGCCCTTCCTGAGAGCTCTAGGATGCATCATCCTTGACTGATCACACTAAGGCTGCAGCCTTGCCCTGGCATATAAGCCATGGACAAAGGAGCTCGTCTGAATAGTCAGTCCAGTTGGAAAAGTTGCTAAACCTTTTTAGGCCTCTTCCTTTCCTTTCCTTTCCTTTCCTTTCCTTTCCTTTCCTTTCCTTTCCTTTCCTTTCCTTTCCTTTTCCTTTTCCTTTTCCTTTTTTCCTTTTTCCTTTTTCCTTTTTTCTCCTTTCTCCTTTTTTTCTCCTTCCTCCTTCCTCCTCTTTTCTCCTTTCTCCTGAAGAGAAGTCCTCTCTTCCTCTTTCCTTTCCTTTTCTTTCCTTTCCTTTCCTTCTCCCTTTCCTTTTCCTTCTCCTTCTTTGTGTGCGTGCGTGCGTGCGTGCGTGTGTGTGTGTGTGTGTGTGTGTGTGTGTGTGTGTGTGGGTACTGGCTGGTTTTGTGTGTCAACTTGACACAAGCTAGAGTCATTAGAGGAAGGAGCCTTGGCTGAGGAAATGCCTCCATGAGATCCAGCTGTAAGGCATTTTCTCAATTAGTGATCGATGGGGGAGGGTCCAGCCCATGGTGAGTGGTGCCATCCCTGGGTTGTTGGTCCTGGGTGCTATAAGAAGGTGAGCTGGGCAAGCCATGGGGAGCAAGTCAGTAAGCAGCTCTCCTGCATCGCCTCTGCATCAGCTCCTGTGTCCAGGATCCTGCCCTGTTTGAGTTCTTGTCCTGATTTCCTTCAGTGATGAACAGCAATCCTGAAGTGTAAGCCCAAAATACCCTTTCCTTCCCAACTTGCCTTTTGGTCATGGTGTTTCATTGCAGCAATAGAAATCCTAACTAAGACAGAGGTTAGGGATGAAGGTTGTGAATGAATGAAATGTTAAAACATAAATATTATTAGGGTTATCAAAACATAAGTAAATGAATAATAAAGAATAGCTATGGGTGTCCTTTTGGACACCCAAGTCTGGAAGATTCTTAATCTCATGGTTATAAGGAGTCCTACTGGCTGCCAAGGGGCTGACTTAGTTAACTCTGGGCTTCTTTGCAGAGAGACAGACAACACTCTCATCCTGACCTGTTCTCCGAGGAGCAGAGTGTGATCAAATGCCCTTCTTGAGGTAGAAGGATGGCAAGTTCAAGGCCAGGTGGGGCAACAGATTGAGAATCCATCTGTCTCAAGATGGGAAGTAAAGAAAGTGCTGGGTCTCTAGATCAGCGGCAGAGACCTTGCCTAGTGTACCACACTGGTTCCCATTTGAGTGGAAAACAAAGGGAAAGAGGGACAATGTGCTGATAGATTTATTTTAGGTTGGGGTAAGGCTTTCCCAGGTAGAAAACCTCTTCTTTTGGAAACCGGGTCTGATGGGAGGTAGGCTGGCACAGGTCCAGTGAAAAGATAGGGTCACTCACTGACTCCATCTGCCAGGAAGCAGGATTCTTTCTAGGTTAATTTGAAGGACATTTAACTGGTGTTTGCATCCCTCTGGGGAGCCAGGGGAAGCTCCAGCTTTTGGCATTTCTCATGTATTCATCTTCAGGAAGTCTTGATGGGGAGCTGGGGTCCAAGAGGAAGCATTCCCTGACCCAACTTGGGAACCTCCCTGGCTCCTGTTTCTAGATCCTATCAGAATCTATGGTGAGCTCATAGAAGGGCATAGGAGGGGGCAGAGATGGAGTGGTGCGTGGTTTATTTTTTAGTTGTTTTGTCTTGTTGTGGGTGGGACATTTGGTGAAAGTCAAGTTGATAAAGTCAACTCACCCCACCCCCGCACCAATTTCAGAATAGCATTATTACATTCTATTCCTTTGACCCTGAGATTTGGGAGTAGTTTAATAAAAGTAGAGTTTCATTGATGATGCAAACCATGTGCTGATGAGGAAATTTAGGCTGTGTAGGGAATACCTGATCTCAGTTATTAATACCACACATCGACTGGTCATAAGAGCTGTGCTAATCTATTTTTCGTTACTATAATGAAACATCCAAAGCTGACAACCTTATAAAATAAGGAGTGATGGGGAAGTACCTCTGTGTATGTTTATCTTATTGATTGTTGAATAAAATACTGTTTGGCCAATGGCAAGCAAGGACTAGGAGTCAAAGAGGATTCTGGGAAATGTAATAGAGAAGTGATGATCCAGACAGGAAATGACATGGCAAGGAGACTCATATCTAAGCGAGGAAACAGGAAATATGCCTCTTTTCCCCTCCGCTCCTGCTCCAGTGGCACAATGTGATCCACCAGCAAGGATGGATGCCATAAGGCGTCCGATAAGATAAGTCTTATAACATATATAGATTTATGATAGTTAAGACTGAGCTAACAGATGAGAATCCTAGTCATTGGCCAAGCAGCTTTGAACCTAATACAAGTTTCTGTGTATTCATTTGGGCCTAACTAGGGTGGGCGGCTGGCATAAAGCGCATGTGTGGCGGTGGGGCTCAGGCAGCTTTTGGCAGAATGATTTATCGTAACAAAGGAGATGTATTTCATCTCAAAAATTTGGAAGTTAGAGGTTGAGGGACCATATCTAGTGATGGGCCTTCTGGCAGGGTCCCAAGGTAAGCACAGGATATCACATGGCAAGAGACAAGGATGTGAGTGTGACTTCCGGTCTCTATCCCCCATACAGCCATAGGATTCAGTTATGAGGGCTCTTTCCTGATGACTGAACCTAACTCTGAATATTGCTAAAGATTCTGACTGAAGTTCTGTCCTTTATACAAACCATGGTGATAATAGGGTACTGAAGATGAGAGCCTCTCAGCTTTCCAGGGAGGCTGGGGTCTGTGACAGCAGGACAGTTGGAGGAAGACAATCAAGGCTTGGAGACATTACACAGGCCTTCTTAGAGCCAGAGCTCTGAGCACTTGCAAGTCTCCTTGTGAATAGCAGGAGCATCCCAAGCTGTTTAATAGGCTCCAGTGCTACCCATGAGGGATTTAAAGTTTTTGAAAGTTTATTTTTATTTCATGTGTATGGGCATGTGTCTAAATACATGTCTGTGTACCCTGTGTGCCTGCAGAGGCCAGAAGAAGATATCGGGTCCCTGGGACTGGAGTCATAGGTGGCTCTGAACCACTATGTGAGTGTTAAGTATTGAACTTGGGTCTTCTGGAAGAGTAGCTAGTGTTCTTAACTGCTGAACTGTCTCTCCAGCCCTCCATTAAAGGTTTTAATAAATGTGGTATGATTTTAGAAGCTGTCTTATTTCCTGCATTTGTTCATAGACTTTTTTGTTGTTGTTTATCAAGTGTTGACTTAAGAAAATACTGAGTTCATTGTTAAGATAATTATAGCTTTCCCCTTGATATATGTGGATATATGTAATTGTTTTTTTAATACTGTAAAATGAGCCTCAGCCTTGTATATGCTGAGTAAGAGGTCTGTTACAAAGCCCTGTCTGCAGCCAGCATTTCACTTTTTGAAACAGGATCTCACTGAGTTGCCCAGGCTGGCCTTGAACTTGCAACTTTGGACTTGTATCCCCCTGCCTTAGTCTTCTGGCCTGGCTGCACATAATTCGTTAAGGAAGCAGCGTGGTCCACAGTGTGACTGCATCCATCCTAAATGCTTTATATGCTTCACGTAATAATGTATAAGGATGTCATATAATTGTATTTTACCAGAGAAAAAGTACAAACTTTGAGAAATATGTACATTGTCTAGAGCTACTCAGCTAACCGAACAATAACCGCAACATCTTGCTCTTCCTGAACTTTGTAGTCCAACTCTCTTCTAGACCCCTATAACGTGATCTTATTTTACTGCCCCCCTCCCTCGGCAGCTCCAGCTGGGTTCTCACATTGTTCCCATTTTACAAATGCAGACACAGAGAGGTAGGTCAGAAACCCAGAGGTGTGAGTCCAGAGGGGACTCATGCAATGTGGATCCAGAGAGGGCTCATTCAGTGTGAGTTCAGAGGGGGACCCCTGCAGAATGCTGTCCTTGGATGATCCCATAAACCCTCATACCTTGACTTCTACCTCACATCTCCAACATGGCTGTGACCTAGATCCTATGGTGATGACCCTGAATCCAACACACAGCCCTACAACCTGTTGTATATGGGTGCTGTCTGCTTGAGCCTTTGATTTTATGCCCTAGGGACTGTGCTACACCCATACTTATGGCTGTGGGAAATAGGGAGAAGGAGTGAAGTGCTGACAGGTGACATAATACCAGCCTTCCCTCTCCACTGAGAAGGTCTGTGTTGGCAGGCAGAGTTCAGCTTAACTGCCCAGCGACCTTCAGTACGTGTTCTTTGTGAGCACCAAATGTCAGCTCTCAGAAAGTGTTCTCACTCCATCAGCCATCCCTGACATGGCTGCCCCACTCACCCTTCTTCCTCCCACCCACTGCTACCCACTGTCACTTACGGGTGACACACTGTTGGGTGGAGCCTGCTCGGAAGAGAGTTGGGGGTGTCTTCCTGCTGAGCCTCTTGATCAGACGGTCACGCTCGTTCAACCTACAGGAGAGCAAAAGAGCAAAGAGGGTCAGGGCTCAGGTCACCTCAACACCTCTCTGAGGGATCCAGATAGCTTCAGACTGAGAGAAGGGGTGGGGCGGCCTCGTGTTTTCATGTTTGTTCCTCTCCCAGAGGCATCAGGCAGCATGCATGCTTTTGCGCACCAGGCAGACATCTCTCTATCACCCTCCTCCACCTCTCTTTCCATGTTGAAGCCAATCCCAGAATGGGAATGTACTTGGAGACTGGTTCTGTCATAGAGTAAAATGACATACAGATGGGCCCTGATCCTTCTAAAGCAAGATCAGGACTCAGATACACACAGAGGGAAGTCCATATGAGGACCCAGGCAGAAGGCAAGGAGAAACTGCAGGCATCAGCCCTGTGGACATTTCTGGCTTAGATTCAGAGCTCAGTACAGAGAGGCATCAGTCTTCACTGAGGCACTTGGTGGAAGCAGCTGGAGTTCCAAGCGGTCGAGTCTAGCACAGCCATTAGTGTTTGCAGAAAGCTCAAGCACCCTAAGGAGCCTCCAGTCTGAGGACACCTGTTCTGATCACAGCCCCTTGTATGTATCCAAATAGCAAAGAATAGAATTGACTTTATTAAAATTAAAAACTTTAAACTGGGCAGAGTGGTGCACACCTGTAGCTCCAGCTACTCAGAGGCTGAGAGCCAAGCCTCACTTCTACCCAGGAATTTGACACCAGCCTGAGCAAAGCAGATAGCAAGATCCAATCAAAACAAAATGAACAAACAAAAACAAGTGGGACTGGAAAGATGGCTCAGTGGTCAAGAGCTCCTGTTGCTCTTGCAGAGGACATAAGGTTCAGTTCATTCATTCAAATCCTTGTTCATGTTTCAGTTGAATTATTTATTCTTTTGCCATTAAGTCATAGTGGTTTCTTATGTATTCTAGATACCGGGTTGCATAACGGCAGTTCAAGGGATCCGATGGCCTCTTCTGGCCTTTGACACCATGAATACATACAGAGCACATACACACAAGCAGGTCAAACACTCACATGCAAGACTTTAAAAATCTTTAAAAAAAAAAAGTTAAAATCTATCAAAGGACACTACAAAGGAATAAGAGGCAACCTCAGAATGGGAGAAACATTTGCTAATCAATCGTATCTGATAAGGGCCTGGTATCTGTAATACATAAATAACTCCCATAAATGAACAGCAACGAGACAAACAATGCAACTGAAACATGAACAGAGGGCTTGAATACATGTTTGGACAATGAAGATGCACATTGGCCAGCAAGCACATGCAAAGATAGCCAACATATTCACGACTGGGAAATGCTCATCAAAACCACAATGAGACACCATTTCACACCCACAAGGATGCCTATGAAAACAGCAAGCAAAGCACACTTTCAGAAAGGGATGAGGGTTAGAGAAGGTGTGGAGAAACTGGAACCCTCTCCTATCACTGACGGGACTGCAAGATGGTGAAGTCACTGCCTCTCGGGAAGTTAGTTAGCTTCACTCACTGATGCGACTGAGATACTCTACTCCTAGATTCTCCTAGACACACACTCAAAATAACTGAGGATCAGAAGACACCTGCACACCAACACTCATGCCAGCATTATTCTCAGACACTGGAGAGAGAGAACCAAATAGCCATCAACTGACGATGAATAAAAAAATGTGGCATATCCATTAAGAGGAGTATTATGCTGTGTAGTAAAGAGGAATTCAGCCATGATCGGAGATACGCACAGACATACTTTGAAAACATACCTAGTCTCAAAGATTGGGCATGAATATACAAAATTTTCAGAGTAGGCAAATGTGTGAAGATGGAAAACTACAAGCTGAAGCTGCCAGTGGCTGCAGGGCAGAAGGTGTGGGGTGGGGTGTGGGGAGTGAGTGAGGGTTTAAAGTGTGATGGGTTCCTAGGGAGATAGACATGTTCCGAGACACTGGCGGGGGTTCATAATATCAGGAACGCAAATGTCACAGAACTGTAGGCTTTAAGATGACAAATTCTAAGTTACATAAATTTTTATTATAACTGAAAACAGGAGAAATCAATTTTAATAAAGGAGAAATAGGTCTCAACTTAAGACCAATTCCTTTACATCCTCCAAATTGCTGGCATTTTTACAGCTCATTTCTGCAGCACTGTGGGGGTGTTGAAGTAAAGTGTTGTCTTTGATTATTCCCCCCTGTGTGCTGGCACAAGCAGGTATTCTAGCTGGGATCTACTGGTATGGAAGGTGTTAGGTAAACACGAACTCAGCCTAGCTATGAGCTATGTGCGGTCTTGGTGCCTCCCCAATAATGTTGCTGAAACTGAAGCTCCGACAAGTCCTCACAAACAGGCCCTTTTTAGAAGCTGACATACCTTGGAGGAGGTGTTATGTTTCTGTCCTGAAAAATAAGTAGTCTGAGGAAGGAGGGGCATGCTGGGAAGGGGTGTGCTAGAGAAAAATAAACTCTCATGTCCAAATTTCTGCTAGGAAGCGTCCCCCCCACCAAAGTCACAGAAGCCTGGAAATTGAGCTGCCCAAGAGCAGGCGTGCAATGGAGCCAGTGACTACTGCTTGTCTTTACCTCCCCCAGCAGATCCCACATCACAGAAGATGCCATAACAGAACCCCTAAAAGATGAGTTTTAGACGCTGATAGTTAAATTAGCTGTTGGGCACTCTTGAAAGCATAAATGTGCAGGGCTTGCTTAACAGGCTCAAGATCCTGGGTTCATCCAGCACCCTAAAAAATAAAAACCAGCAACAAGAACAAAATGGAGATGATTGTGATAGGTCTCTTCCTTTCAGGCATAGCCAGACTCCTACCAACTCAGAAGGCACTGCAAAGTCTCACTTGCCTCATGTGATGGCTCTTCTTGGTTGTCAACTTGACTGCATCTGGAATTAACTAAAACCCAAAAATGGAGGGGCACACCTGTGAGGGACTTTTGCTTAATTTGAAGTGTAAAGATCTACTTCTAATCCAGATCTTTGAGGTGGGAAGACACACCTTTATACATATCTGTAGAGCTGGGAAAACCCACCTCTAACCTGGTCTACACCTTCTACTGGAAGCCTATATAAGGACATAGAAGATGGAAGCTTTGTCTGCCTGCTCTCATCTTGCTAGCAAGTCTATTCCTTCACTGGAATTACAGGCTACTTCTTCAGGATTCCAGTGTATACTGAAGACCAGCTGAAACATCCAGCCTCATGGATTGAGCAACTACAGGGTTCTTGGACCTTCCATTCCTAGGCAGCTATTATTGGAATTTCTTTTTTTTTCTGTTTTATTTATTTATTAGTTTTTTCAACTTTTTTATTTGAATTAGAAACAGGATTGATTTACATGACAATCCCAGTTCCCTTCTCCCACCGGTCCTCCCTTACCACACCCCCCCAACTAAAACCCTATCTATCACATATCCTTTCTGTTCCCTCAATTATTATTGAAATTTCTTAGAGTGGCTTACAGGCTATGGTACAGCATATATATTATATATGTAACGTGTGTGTGTGTGTGTGTGTGTGTGTGTGTGTGTATGTACAGACAGAGAGAGAGAGAGGGAGAGAGAGAGCGAGAGAGAGAGAGAGAGGGAGAGAGAGAGCGAGAGAGAGAGAGAGAGAGAGAGAGAGAGAGAGAGAGAGAGAGGGGTTCATTCTGTAAGTTCTGTTACTCTAGAGAACCCTACTAACATACCTCAGAAGCAACTGGGAGAATTCACATCTCAAACTGAATTTGTTGTGTTTCCACAAAACCCATTCCAGCAAAGAGCTGATCTATCTACGATTTAGACTGCAGCTCTAGTGATTATTGCTCTGGAAAATTGCTAGTACCTTCTCTGAGTTGTTTCTTCCATCTCACCCTGTTGAGTTTACTACAATCTCTACCAGAGCACTCATGACCTTATACTGTGTTATTTATGTGCACATTGGGGTTCCTCAGACACTGTCTTCCTGCATTTCTCCCAGGGCCTAACCCAGGCTGTGGACAGAGGTCTTGGTTAACAATATGAAGTTTCATGGACTATGCTGTGACCACCTGTCATCTTCTGATATGTACCTACAATGTGATCATGTCAACCTTTGCCTCTTCGTGTGTCTTCTAGGACAGTATCAAGATCAGGCTACAGCAGGTTTGCCATGGTGGACCAAGTCAATTCCTCTGTATTATTCTTTGAAAACCACTGAATATCTATGTTCTCCCAGGGAGGAGAGCTCATTCCAAATGTACAGAATGTAAGCAAAGGCTGAATTTGCCGAGAAGAAACATTGTATTTTCTTTAAAATTCAGATTGCAAGGAGTTGTAGGAGGCCAGTATAGCTGAGGGTGGGACAGATTAATGAACAATATAAATACGATTCCAAAAATAAGAAGGCAATATTTCTTGTTCTCTGTGGACTCAACTCCCATCTCACTATCAGCACTGGGAACTGGGAGGCAGAGCTGGCAATGGCATGCTACTTTTCTTGATCCCCAACAAGCTGCCAGATGGTGGGGTCTAGAGGATGCTTCTGAGTGTTGGAGGGAATCTTATATCTTTACAATGTAGTGTGGGCAAATTCTTGCCAAAAGAAGAATTTGTCTAAGAAGTACAATACCAAATGGATAAGCAAAGTAAAGGGGACAAAAAGATTTCAGCCTCAGAATAGGTGCTATCTGCTAGTCGACATGGCCAACAGTCAGGGCAGAGGAAAATGCTGATGGGCTGTGGGCAGAATGCTGAGGGCAGTATCAACAGAAGAGGTTGGGGTTGCTCCTGGCATTTACTCCTGGCATTTGAAAGCGTTCTGTTGTGCCTGACAGCTGGGATAGTAATGTGAACAATCGTGTAAGGTCAGGAGGAAAGTTCAAGAGAAACATACACTGACAGCAAGTAGTCACCTTGCCCTTGGACCTGCAACAGCCGCCAAGAGAGAACTGGCCACATGGCGGCTTCTAAAGACTGGTATTTATATCATCAGAACCTGTTAGCTCAGAAAAATAACAAAGATCATGTCAGATCCCTGCT